TAACATGAACTCGTAAACAAAATACTTAAATTCAACATTCGTGGATAAAAAAGGTTAAATAAGTTTAATCCTTCAGTACTGGTTATCCTCAAGGCTTGTTTGTGTGTAAGCGAATGAATGATTCTCTGATATCAGTTGTAGGGAAAACGGTTACAAATAATATTATGTAAGTTAGGAGTTTCCTTGTGTCTTAATCATGTGCTGTTTAGGATTTCCTTGGAGTTTTTATATTGGTGCGACGTCACGTGCACCCCCCCACCCCACACCCCGCCTCCCACCTCGCGGTCTGGCGGTGTTTACGTCCGAGTACATCACGATATGCCGCGTGGCCCCATACATACATACATACAACAACTATTTATGTTTTAAACAATTTTCCTTAACGTAACAAATGTTTATTTGCTTAAATACTTAATTTTGTTTAATAATAGAAAATGTAATGCAATAATTTGTAAATTAAACAAAATCACTTTAAACATTAAGCGCAAGCGAAATTATGTCTTAAATTTACATTAACTTATATTTCACAAAAGTTTATAAAACTAATAGGAAGTTAAATACACAAACTAATTAAGTTTATTACCAGTAGTTATACTAGAAGTACTAGTAGTTATGTATTACATGTAGGATTTCAGTTTTAGTTTCAATTAGTGCTCTAAGTGCAGTGAGGAGGAGGGTCGGTCCTGCCGCATGGTTGTGCATTTATTTGGCTTGTTGCATGTTGGAGACGCTGACTAGTTAGCGGAACATCTTGTTGTTGAAATACTCTTCTAGTCGGGCGCAAACTCTCAGAAAATCATTTCAAATTAATGCTGAAAATAAATGCGTGTAATATAAATAATAGTAATATCCTATGGTGATGTGATCACATTCGTCTCGCATACATTTAAAGCTCTGATATGTATTAATATAGCCAATTAAAATAATCGTTATAGAAACGTCAGTTTTCCTGTTAGAGCACGTGCTGCGTGCTTCGCCGCGCGCCGTGTCGTGTCGTGTCGTGTCGTGCCATGTCGTGCCGTGCTGTAACGCTGCCCGCTAGCAACACCACTCTGTGACAACCGAGCTTCCATTGCACACAACTAATTATTATTGGCTGCAAGTTCCTTTTGAGATGACATTATACTTACTGCTAAGATATCACAATATATCTTTAGTCGGATTATAACTAACTTTAAAAGTTCGAAGTGAAATTGTAATAGTTTAAGACATAAGCATCGTAGTTTGTGTCGCGCGATTGACGTGAGGTGAGAGTAACGACCTCTAAGGCAGTAGTTAACATAAACATACGGAAATGTCAGTTTGACCATAGTATACCTACACATTACTCTTTTGTAGTTTATTCATCACACACCTTAATTAATACAAAAGGGTGTTTTTACGCAGAGTTGTTAATTGGTCAGTAAAGAAGGTTTATGTGCGGACAGCGCGCGGTGTGCTTTGCGCTGGCTTCTTCTCGTGTTTCCCCAAAACAGATTTAATTTTAATTTTACAATAAGTTGCTGCATTGTTTGTTAAATACTATTACTATTACCAGTGATGTGACTCACTCAATAAGTATTCCTCAGAATATGTTTTATGTATATTAAAATTGATTAAAATTTATATACTTAAGTTTTTAATAGTGGTACAGCGCACCGCAACAACATCCGTTGCCGAATGGGCCATGAAATACCACCACGCTCATAATTGTACATACTATAAGATACTACTTTGAATGTTTAAACATATTTTATTAAATACAAAACATTTACAATATTAAGTGAATAATAAAGATTATTTAATGATTTACGTACATCTGAGTGGCTTTGTTAAGAGTAATCATATTTGAGACACGTCCGCTAGGTGAAACCCTGTCGTCTGCTGTTTACAGAGTTTTATAGTACAGCACAGGTATGGTAATGATGGTACGAGACAACGCACACGCCGCGCGCCGGCACTCTTCCATCAATATAAGATCAAAATTTTGTAGATCTCAAAACGATGAAGATGTCTGTCAAGTGACAAGGCAATCTATCGATTTAAATATTTATATAACACGTTGAAGCATTGTCGTAACATTATACTTTGAGTGAGAACCAAAAAGCGAGGCGGTGAAAAGTTTGCAGTTTGCCTTGAGCGGCGGGCCGGTGCGACGCGGCGTGGTGCCGTGGTGCCGTGGCCGGGTAATCCCCGACAACGTAATTCCCCTCACACAAAATTTTCTTTTAACAAACACCTAGAGCACCTGAACGCAGGCAAATTCACACATACTGCTGGAATATTAATATCATCCAAAATATATTACTGACAAAGTAAGCGCAGCGCATACATAAATTATAAAAACAAAGTCGATCCAATCTTTTTATGTGTATGATATTTTATAAAAGTAAAACAAAACACACCAAAAGTAACCATTTAGTTTTTCATTTGAGCCATATCAATTTAAAATGTATTTTCGTATCGTCTCATTACACGACACTAAAATACATTGTATCTCTCTACATAATCCTATAGGTACTATGTAATTTATCCGGAGCTAGGCGAGGAGAGCGAGGCGTATAGGAAGCGACGTGCGTCGTAGCCACCGCCGCTCTTACTATTTTTGGGGTTTTAGTCGGCGCAAGCGCAACTTTATCTCTTGCCCAAAGAAATAATAAAGTAAGTGTTAGGCACTTTTTCAAGTCCATGATAAAGTTTAAAAGTGTATTCATCGATATATTTCAGTAATTCTGTCAATTTACAATATAGTAATAAGTTTATTATAACCGCTTGAGCTCGCAACAGTTTCCTGCTCTTATCCGACCACCTGCGTACTTACGTAGGTACATTTAGTCTGGAATAATACATATTTTCCTATGTTACTCAATTTAATATTTCAATTTTATTAAATATGTTATTATTAAATGTAAATACATTATTATTTTTATGATCACTAGCTGCAGCCCGCCACTCCGTCCGCGCGGTATTAAAGATAAACTTAATCAGTAGCCTATGTGTTTGCAGACTATGTTCTACATCTACATGAGACGTGAGCATGTAAACAAACATCCATACATCTAAACATTCGCATTTATAATATATATTAGTAAGAAGTAAAATAAGATTCTATATTCAAACGCGCCATCTATCTTGTGAAAATAGTAATACGTCGCCATCTACCGGATGTTAAGGGAAACTAACTGAGAAATACACATTACTTGTATACATGTTGTCAAATAAAATGAACCGTGAAAGATTTTTTTAACACAAATACAAAAAATACATTTTAGCGAGTGATAAAAAGATATTAGTAAAAAAAATCATGGTTAATTTAATGTAGATGTTTTGTTTTAGTGTAATAAAGGTAATCTTTTATTTAATAATTATATTATGTATTTTCCTTTTGTTACAATTTCCCATATAATTTTATTTGTCATAACATAATCATTTGTATATAATTGTCACTAAAATTAATGAAAATTCATATAACAAATTGTTAAATAACGAAAAATGTAAATCAATCATGACATAGACATGATAAAAGTAATGTAATAGATACATTTTAAAGTATAAGATATTGAACATGTGTATGAAAATCACTCCGCCAGTCACAACTGTCCGATGACATTAGTCCTCACTGAGGGGCTCGGAGCCTACCCAAGTTAAGAGTACCTTAGTTAACCCCGCTGGATCAGCTCTGTTTGGATGAAAACCTTACATTATTCACTTATTGTTGTTTTGTCACAATACATACAATGACAGAGAGTAGCAGTACATATAATATGTCCGCGACTGCAGCGACACCTCACTGACATGGTAACATTTATATCTTGTCTTAGGTTAGGATAAGGAAGTGTTCGCGCGACAACGACACGGTGAAGAAAACTGATTGTCTATTGTTAGTCACATTTATTTAGTACTCGCTGTTGCCCGCGACTCCGCGCGTCTAATTTAAAAAAAAAATTAATTAGTAGCCCATGTATTCTTTCAGTACTATATTCAACATCTATACCAAATTTCAGCGAGATTCATGGATGTTTCCTTATATCTTCAAAATAACAGATCGACAGACGGATGGATGGACCGGGCCCATCCATCCGTCCATCCATCGAAACATTCGCATTTTAAATGTTAATAAAATATTGGGATTTTGTTTATTAACCGACTTCAAAAAGGAGGAGGTTCTCAATTTGTCTGTATGTTTTTTTATTTTTGTTCGTCGATAACTCCGCCCCTAGTAGTCTGATATTCATAATTATCGTTTTATTCGAAAGATGTTACGTGTCATTTGGTCATGAAACATTAAAAACTATCAACAGTAGTTTTTGAGTTATTCTGAATAAACCGCGTCAAAACATTGAGAAAAATGGGACAATTTTGCTTTCTTGGCTTCCACAGGCTAAACTATACGACGTACATAAGAATGATGTAGCAACGATTTGTAACTCTTTAAATTTGCTAACCTAACCTAACCATTTTTTATAACAACAACTAATAATTCGACATATAAAATATTACAGCAACAATTATTCGCATATAGTTGAAAATAGATAGCAATGTCTGGAACACCATTATAAGTGAACTATGAAATGTATCCATCAACATCCCATTCATAGCGAATTGTTTGTTTACCCAAACAAGTCCTCCTACAGCCTGGTTTATGTCTGAAACAATTGGACCGATTTGGACGTGACTTTGACTGGAAGGTAGCAAATTTTTGTAGAAATATCAAAAGGTAATCCTTTTTTAAATTATGTGCTAAGACTGACGCGGGCGACTGCTACTTTATAATAATTGCAAAATTGCAGTCTTCAGGCAAATCCATGCAATGACCCACAAATTGTCTCTAATTTCTGAACAGCAATCAGCTGTAACGTGCCGCAGCAGCGCCGCTGCCGGCTGAAAACCTAGGCTTCGCTAGCATGCACAGTATGGGACAGCGCGCTGCACGCCGTGTCGAGCCGCGCCGCGCCGCGCCGCGCTGCCGCGCACATGTAAACAAACATTCGTCGCCGCGTATTTTATAAGTAGAGGCCGCACCGCGCGCCCATTCCGCCGCGAACAGCCGGCCGCTGCGCACGTCATTTTCCGTCATGCTCGACCACGCGCGCCACTACGAGCAAAACATGTGCGAGCTATACCTCGCGCCCGCGCCGCCCGCGCCCGAGCGCCTCGATGCATTCCAGGTGTTCCGCAAGAGCAACACCACCCCCTACGTTTACGGCACCTACTACAACCACTACGACGCGTTCGCCGAGCCCGACGTCGATGCCGCTGCCAACGTCTACCACAACCTGCTTAACTCGCGCGACTACCATCGCGATGACTGGAAGTACAAGAGCATGGCCGAGTGGACCGAGGACGACACGCTCTCTTGGGTCGTGGACGCGGCCGCTGCGGCCCAGGGGCTCGGTTTCTGCGAGTACGACATTCCCTTCTGCAACTTCAGGATCCCCGGCGTCGAGCTGCGCGGCCTGAAGCGCGAGGACATCGTGCAAAAAATGGCGCACCTCAACATCGACGCCGCCGTCTCGCGCAGGATCGGAGACGTGGTTTATGAAAAGCTGCAGGCGCGCGTTCACGAGGAGATAATGCGCCACTCGGGAGTGTACCGAGACACGGAGGGCGAGACGTATGCCAGCCCCGAGACAGCGCAAACGATGCTCGACCTGGACTCGCTGGACCACAAGAACCGGCTGTATGCACTCGATTACCGCGCGGCTGACGCGGCACTGCGTCTACCCTGCGACTCCAGCGACGACGACGTCTTCCGTACGTCGGACAACGCCTCGCCGGAGTACTACGGTAGCGACGGCAGCAAGTCCGGCGATGAGGAGGACAAGCGCAAGCAGTTCAAGCGGCCGCCCGGCCGACCCAAGGGTAGCGGCCGCAAGGTGTGCAAGCGCCCGCGCAGCGTCTCCGTGCCCGAGTTCCTCAGGAACCTGCTGCTCGACCCCAAGTACTGCCCCTCCATCATCAAGTGGGAGGACCACTCACAAGGAAAATTCAGGTGAGTCTATATTTAATAATGAAAAGAGTTTGTATCATGACTGGAGTGTTTAGCCAGTTCTCGCCTTTCAGCCATTCATACATAATGCAACGTGTTCGTATGTCACGTTGCTTTAGTTAATCTCTGTTTTGCGTTTGTCTTCGATGCTTATTAACAATTTAACATATTGGTGTGTAAAGGATCGAACTGTGTGCATTGTCTCGGCGCGGCAGAGATCCGCCAGCCGCCGGCGCCGATGGCACATCTCGCGCTGTCAAATGTGACAAAAGTTTATTTGCGCGAAAATCTTGTACTCTATGTTCCTTATCTCTGTCAATTAGTATGTAGATTTATTTGTTGAATTATTACTGGGTATTCGTCAACTGATCCACGTTACTATTTCAAGAGAAGAAGGAGTTAACAAGAAATGACAAAAGTCCTTTTTTTTAAATTGATCATAAACAGAGTAGACAAATGAATTACACACTCAAAATTGTGCTTAAACCAATGAATAACAAACTACCGATGTTTACTTATAAACAGAGATAAATATACATGATGCTACAACTAGAGGCAAAGACTAAATAATCAGTAAAAAATATTTATACGCAACCTGTACACACTCTACTAGCATTAGATAAAAAAATCTTTATCACAAAATACTGGGAAGTAATTTGTGATACCAAACAGAAGGTAAAAATGTAATCGAACCTACATATGTTTGTTTTACTTTCTTATTTGACGGATATACGTTATAGCGACATCATACAATATTGTTTAAGAAGAAAAATTATTCATAAAGTGTTTTGTTAGGACTTAACGGACCCTTAATAAAATGGTTCATATCAGTAGCTATTTGTTTATGTCGGAAACTCCTCTTATGAATAGGTTTTATTCTTGCAGACTCTATTTTTATACTGTTTTTAGTTAAATTAAAATAAAGTTCTTAATTTTGAATAAGTTTTTTTCATAGGATAATAGTTAAGTGCGATATTTCTACGTTCAGTACCTCACAGTTTGCTGCTCAAACAAACTCTGCAACTGACCTTGTCATTGAAAAACATCAATCGAGCAAAAACATGGCAATGTGACATTGCAGCTGTGCCCCCCCCCACCCCGCCCCTACCACCGGTCTTGTACAATTTAATTTCTTTAAATTACATTTTATTAAAACTCTCGACTGATGTCTATTTTTTTGACGTGAAAACATTTATTTTTCAATTTAATAAAGTATATGTTAAAATGTTACTTTATTACTTTATATATAATAAATTCCATATTACACAGCTTTAATTATTCTTTGTGATATAATATCTACTCGTATAGGAGTTGCTACAAGATTTTTAAAGGTAAAAAAAAAAGTATTCTGTAAAATGATTCTTTATTAAGTATTATTATTATCACCAGGCGTGTTATGTCGATAATCAAAAGTCTTGTATTTATATCTTGATAATATATCTTTCAATAGTAGACAATATATAAATATTTGATAAGTCAACAAATCAGATCAGAATGCCTACATTCTAAATATGTACACTAACGACTCGTTAACAGACGTTGACACGCTATCGACAAGCGTTATCCATTGCCATAGCAACGCAAGTCGATTTCATTTATTCATTGTTAATATTATTAAAAAAAACATTCGAGTAATGTATTTTCGAGTGTAACATTAGTAGGAGTTCGGATTAAATCCTACTCGCGCTTAATGTTTACCAATAACAAGTGTGAAATCGCTTTGTTGTGACTCTACTTACTGTTGACTGCGTACTTGTAAACGTTCATTAATCACTTTAAATGTTGGCGTATTGTCACTGCGCAGTGTAGGTACACACTTTATAATATATACTATGATTATATTTACGTTATTAAAATCATTTGTTTGACAAACAAAATGATAGGAGGAACAAAGTATCGACTTGGTTACATATAATTTCATTTTTTTGTGACTGGTCAACTTTAATCAAACTAAGTTTGTAATAGTCCCCGCTCCGAGGAACGAGTCGTATTCACGTGTCAGGGTCAAAACGTGACTAAATCACGTGCAAAATTAACTATGGTTTAAAGCAAGATTAATTTTTTTTATTTTGTTGATGCTTTGTTCTATAAATAGCCTCAGACTGAGTTTCCAATCTGTCATTTGAAAAGTAACATTGATACTGTAGATAATTGTTGATATTGTCTCTTTAAACACGCATTACTTATTAAGTAATTTGTACAAATTATACGTTGATTATTAGCTCGACTTTGATGTTGTATAGCATAGTTTGTACGCAATAACATCATTAATATAAACAATATTTCTTAAAAAGAATTATATTTAAAATAAACAATAAAAAAGTAATTGAGATAATTTGCCTCGGATCTTACAGGCTCGGAGGAAGGGTTGCCACCGTTTCGCGTTTGACGTCGATGTTATCAGCTCCCACTGTGGTGCAAAAATGTCACTGGATTTAGGTTTTTTGTTGTCCAACAAAAGTTAGGGGTTGCTCAACCACTGGTCGTCGTTTTTTGTTCGTCGTCAGTATGCAGGTCAAGATTCATTAAACGTTGCCAGCCCTAGCTTTGTAGCTGCAATTTGTACTATACATTGATAAGATCGCACCTCGCAACCCCCCCCCCCCCCCC